AATCTTATTGACCTAAAAAAGGTCAATTTAGTTTTCGAATTTTTTTTTGAAAATCCCCCCTTCTCGAGAAAATCCTAGATCCGCCCCTGACAAGAAGTCTTAAAAAAGAACGCGCCATCTCTCGGAATCGAACCGGCGATCCGGATACCATGAGTCTAACGTCTTCCTATAAACTCCATGTGACAATTAAAACTAAAAAATTCGCCAACAATGAACCCGTTAGGGCTAGTTTTCCTTCTAAGTCGCACCTGCAAATTTTTATGGCTTTTAAAATATTTTCAAAACTTTTTGAAGAAAAAGAAACACTACTCAATAGCTCTAAAGTTTCAGAAATTTTCTTCATGATTGTTTTTTCAAAAATCAATCATAAAGAGAAAACTGGTCTACAGGTAATTTTCTTATCCCAGTGGAAAATCGTTTTAACTAACTTTCACTTTCCATATTTAAATTCTTTCAAATTTTATTTCCGCGTCACTTAAAATTTTGTGATTCTTTTACCAAATGTTTTTGAATTGAACTTAAACGAAAAGCTGTAATTTCAGCCGCAAAACATAAAACCCACACGAGCTATGTAAGTAACCTGACAAAATTCATTTGATTAAATCAGGGGCACAACATGAGTTCTACATGAGGAATGTTATAGCTGGGTCTTTCTCAGTGTTCTCTCGGCTTAATGGCAATAACAACTAAAACATTAAGTGTATAAGGTGTTAAACAGATCCTTCATTCAGAAACTGACATTGATTCCAATGATAATATTGCCATCGAGAAGCGAAGACAAGAAGACTACGAAGCCGAAGTAGTAGTTTATCGAGCACTTGAAAATTTGAACGAGCCCATTACTGTGTTTCATGGTCTTAAATATACTCACAGCCAGTTTAGACTCTGGGACATTAATCACAATAGGAAAAGCTGTAGTGAGTCTGGGAGGAACCCAAGTTGTAAGAACCCAGACGCAGATGAAGGTGAACATGATTTTGTTGTATTTGGTCCCGATTACATAGTATTGATAGAAGTCAAGAATCCATCTTTACTTCAGGCGACAACAAGCAAAACTAATGAAGGCATAGAAGAAAGTCTGGATCATGTCCCTGAAAGAATGGGAAAAATGTCAAGAATCCATCTCTACTTCAGACGACAACAAGCAAAAGTAACGAAGGCAAAAAACAACGTCTGAATCATGCCCCTGAAACTGTGGGGAAGAAAGTCAAGAATCCATCTCTATTTCAGGCGACAACAAGCAAAAGTAACGGAGACAAAAAACAAAGTCTGGATCATGTCCCTGAAACAGTGGGAAAGAAAGTCAAGAATCCATCTCTACTTCAGGCGACAACAAGCAAAAGTAACGAAGGCATGAAAGAACGCCTGGATTATGTCCTTGAAATAGTGGTAAAGAAAGTCAAGAATCCATCTCTATTTCAGGCGACAACAAGCAAAAGTAACGAAGGCAAAAAACAACGTCTGAATCATGCCCCTGAAACTGTGGGGAAGAAAGTCAAGAATCCATCTCTATTTCAGGCGACAACAAGCAAAAGTAACGGAGACAAAAAACAAAGTCTGGATCATGTCCCTGAAACAGTGGGAAAGAAAGTCAAGAATCCATCTCTACTTCAGGCGACAACAAGCAAAAGTAACGAAGGCATGAAAGAACGCCTGGATTATGTCCTTGAAATAGTGGTAAAGAAAGTCAAGAATCCATCTCTATTTCAGGCGACAACAAGCAAAAGTAACGAAGGCAAAAAACAAAGTCTGGATCATGCCCCTGAAACAGTGGGAAAGAAAGTCAAGAATCCATCTCATCTTCAGGAAACAATAAGCAAAAGTAACGAAGGCATAAAAGAAAGTCTGGATCATGCCCCTGGAATAGTCGGAAAAAAAGTCAAGAATCCATCTCTACTTCAGACGACAACAAGCAAAAGTAACGAAGGCATAAAAGAAAGTCTGGATCATGCCCCTGAAACAGTGGGAAACAAAGTCAAGAATCCATCTCTACTTCAGACGACAACAAGCAAAAGTAACGAAGGCAAAAAACAACGTCTGAATCATGCCCCTGAAACTGTGGGGAAGAAAGTCAAGAATCCATCTCTATTTCAGGCGACAACAAGCAAAAGTAACGGAGACAAAAAACAAAGTCTGGATCATGTCCCTGAAACAGTGGGAAAGAAAGTCAAGAATCCATCTCTACTTCAGGCGACAACAAGCAAAAGTAACGAAGGCATGAAAGAACGCCTGGATTATGTCCTTGAAATAGTGGTAAAGAAAGTCAAGAATCCATCTCTATTTCAGGCGACAACAAGCAAAAGTAACGAAGGCAAAAAACAACGTCTGAATCATGCCCCTGAAACTGTGGGGAAGAAAGTCAAGAATCCATCTCTATTTCAGGCGACAACAAGCAAAAGTAACGGAGACAAAAAACAAAGTCTGGATCATGTCCCTGAAACAGTGGGAAAGAAAGTCAAGAATCCATCTCTACTTCAGGCGACAACAAGCAAAAGTAACGAAGGCATGAAAGAACGCCTGGATTATGTCCTTGAAATAGTGGTAAAGAAAGTCAAGAATCCATCTCTATTTCAGGCGACAACAAGCAAAAGTAACGAAGGCAAAAAACAAAGTCTGGATCATGCCCCTGAAACAGTGGGAAAGAAAGTCAAGAATCCATCTCATCTTCAGGAAACAATAAGCAAAAGTAACGAAGGCATAAAAGAAAGTCTGGATCATGCCCCTGGAATAGTCGGAAAAAAAGTCAAGAATCCATCTCTACTTCAGACGACAACAAGCAAAAGTAACGAAGGCATAAAAGAAAGTCTGGATCATGCCCCTGAAACAGTGGGAAACAAAGTCAAGAATCCATCTCTACTTCAGGCGACAACAAGCAAAAGTAACGAAGGCAAAAAACAAAGTCTGGATCATGCCCATGAAACAGTGGGAAAGAAAGTCAAGATTCCATCTCTACTTCAGGCGACAACAAGCAAAAGTAACGAAGGCAAAAAAAAAAGTCTGGATCATGCCCCTGAAACAGTGGGAAAGAAAGTCAAGAATCCATTTCTATTTCAGGCGACAACAAGCAAAAGTGACGAAGGCAAAACACAAAGTCTGGATCATGCCCCTGAAACAGTGGGAAAGAAAGTCAAGATTCCATCTCTATTTCAGGCGACGACAAGCAAAAGTAACGAAGGCATGAAAGAACGCCTGGATCATGTCCTTGAAATAGTGGTAAAGAAAATCAAGAATCCATCTCTATTTCAAGCGACAACAAGCAAAAGTAACGAAGGCGAAAAACAAAGTCTGGATCATGCCCCTGAAACAGTGGGAAAGAAAGTCAAGAATCCATCTCATCTTCAGGAAACAATAAGCAAAAGTAACGAAGGCATAAAAGAAAGTCTGGATCATGCCCCTGAAATAGTCGGAAAGAAAGTCAAGAATCCATCTCTACTTCAGACGACAACAAGCAAAAGTAACGAAGGCATAAAAGAAAGTCTGGATCATGCCCCTGAAACAGTGGGAAAGAAAGTCAAGAATACATCTCTACTTCAGGCGAAAACAAGCAAAAGTAACGAAGGCAATAAACAAAGTCTGGATCATGCCCCTGAAACAGTGGGAAAGAAAGTCAAGAGTCCATCTCTACTTCAGGCGACAACAAGCAAAAGTAACGAAAGCAAAAAACAAAGTCTGGATCATGCCCCTGAAACAGTGGGAAAGAAAGTCAAGAATCCATTTCTATTTCAGGCGACAACAAGCAAAAGTGACGAAGGCAAAAAACAAAGTCTGGATCATGCCCCTGAAACAGTGGGAAAGAAAGTCAAGGTTCCATCTCTATTTCAGGCGACGACAAGCAAAAGTAACGAAGGCATGAAAGAACGCCTGGATCATGTCCTTGAAATAGTGGTAAAGAAAGTCATGAATCCATCTCAATTTCAGGCGACAACAAGCAAAAGTAACGAAGGCATAAAAGAAAGTCTGGATCATGCCCCTGAAATAGTCGGAAAGAATGTCTTGAATTCATTGCCATCTCAATCACCTTCAAGTACTTCGACTTCAAAAAATCCCGTTATAACTGCTTTTGAAAAAGCTAATCTACAGTTTGACAAAGGAATGACACTTCTTGACAGAATTTTGAATTCCACTCAATTAGACAATGATTATAAATCAGACATTCACGTTTTCCGTTTCATTGCTTTCCCGAATGTGAATACAAATCATTTTAATGAAAATATCATGAATAAAAGTGATTTTGAGGGTTTCAAGACCTTCTGGAGAGCAAACGTGCTGACCAAAGAAAAAATTCCAAAGGTTTCCAACAACACAACTTTTTCAGGCGATATAAAAACTTTAGAAAAGGCCATTTTACGCATGTTCGCTTCAAAAAACAGTACTGGGAAAAGAAAGCTTAAAGGTGCGCCAGATAGATTGGAAATTGATGAAAAGAAACTTGGCTTGAAAGAATGCGTCATCGATATCGATAAAAAATTGAGAAATTCTGAAATCACTTTCAGAGGTAACAGTAGTATGCATATAGTGCGTTAGGATCGGGGGGGGGGGTTGTCATACATGGATGACCATTAGGTATAAATCATAATGGTCACCATGTATTAAATGATCAGCAATGGTCACCATGTAATAATCCTAATTGTCACCACATATAATTTTATACCTAATGGTCACTATGTAATAATCCTAATTGTCACCATAAATAATTTTATACCTAATAGTCCTCATGTAAAACTTCGGTATATTATTGAGTATTCCCACTGAACGTTGTGGAAACGGGAATGGAATTAGGTTTTGGTCGGTGCATGTTTTCCCTTCTAAAGTTTGGGGGTATTGGTTTGTTTACATGTAAAATGACGTTATATACCTATTATATGCGACCAAACTATCTGGTATATAGGAAAGCACAAGATTTTGGCAGCGTAGCTTAACTGTTGTCTGCGGTGACCGATTTCCTTCAAAAATGCATGTTTTATTGCTGAATCTCGAAGAAAGGAAAATTCGTCAAGTGCGGCGGCCGCCACCTCTATTTAGGCAAAAATCAATTTGACCAAAATAAGAATGAAAAATTACTTTAAGCCAAATGAAGCTAAAAAATAAGGAAAAATTACGAAACACTGAAAACTCTAAAATAATGAAATTGGCTTAAAAATTTCGACATTTCCATTTTCCGTGTCTACAGGAGACTGAAAAATAAACGTCTGAAATCTATGACAAAAGCTTTGATTTTATAGAAAGATTGATAGAGCTAAAAGGTTGAAGTGTCTAAAGATCTTGAAAAACGAGAACACTGATGAAAGCCAAAAGTGCCCATTAATTTTGCTGCAATCATTTCTAAGACTTGTACCTAACTTGTTACTATAAAATTGAAGTGGAACAAAATTTCTTGGGGTCCGAGTAGAGGAAAACGCATGGCGCTCGACTCTCAGCCGAAAGGCGGCGTTTCGAAACCCGTCCGGAAATTGTACTGAAAGGAGGCAACAGTAGCTGGTATGGTGATATCCCCCCATAGATCGATTTTGTACTTTTTTTCTCAATTTGATAAAAAGCTTAACTTCTCGAATTACTGCTATTCAGTTAACAATTGGGTAAAATTTCAATTACTAAAAGAATGTATTGTTCAAAATTGAATTGTAAAATGTATAAATCAACCATATTAAATGGTTAGTTAATGGGTACGCATGTGAGTTAGGAAACGTTTCAAAACATGATCAGTTATATAAACAAAATCAGAAGCATCACCATTAAAGTTTTTATCAAAAATCAAATGTGCAATATAAATACAAAAAGAACCGCACATGGTAGAGTTTGAGTCTTGCATGGGAAAGTTTGTCATCAATTCAGTCACTTGATGAAAATTCTCGTTCAATCGTTTATACAGATTGGTGTACTGCCAAAGAGGAAGACCGAGAGGATCAGCGAAGTATAAAACATTTCTTCTGTTGCATATCACGATCCAATGTGTCCCCGGAGAATCTGATTTTGAAGTGTTCACAATCATAAAGATATTGTTTGGGACGAGAGGTGGAAAATTGTCGGCTGCAAATACTCCAAAAAACTTATATTTCAGATGTTTACAATTCTGAATGAGGTCCTGCAACTGGGTTTCATCCATTTTCAGACTGTCGAAATGGGAAGGACGTTCTTTGTGACTTTGCGGTCGGAGGTAATAAATACATTGGATGAGCGTATACCCCAAACAAAAACTTCCAGGTTTGCTGTCAAAGCGTTTGAGAATTGAAGATCGAGTGAAACTGAGCAGTTAGTAAGTTCTGGATGCAAGAAGTCATGAGCTGCCTGCTGTGTGCTAGTGAGATCAAAACACATAATAAAGTGCTGTTGGTAGTTATCCAGAGTGATTCCCAGCCCGCAGTGCAACAAACCCAGCGCTGATAGTGTGTTGAAGAAGAGACGTTTATGATCTTGTGTACTGATTGGTGTACTTGCTATTGGTAAACCATTTCGTCTCAAAGTAACTTGCTCCAATCCAAATTTTTGATAATGAAAAGGATTCGTTCGGTTTGTTCCTAGAAATGCATTATTTGTGTTCAATGCTATGATAATTTGTCTCACCGGTTCACGAGCAAAAATATCTTCCTGTTGCCAGCTGCGCTGACCAGCTGTTGCAAGAAATGTTTTTGTAATTTCTTCTTGATATGGGTAGTTCGCAGGAGTTTTGAGCAAAGTTGATTCAATGGCAGAGAGCACATGGTCAGTCACAGTCATTTTTCTAACATATAGGTTCGCTTCGAGTATTTGCAGCTTGTAATGCTTGGCAGCATCTTCCGATATAATGAGAAAGTCTTCATGAGAACGTCTGTAGGAAAGTCTGAGGGTAACACCGCTCAACAAATGCTTGTCACATGTGAAAAAATCAACTCCAGCGGGTCCATAGAACCAAATTTCCCTCGATTCACGGACCAGTTCTCGTTGAGATGTGAAATCAGCTGCATCGATTGCAGCGGGATTGTTTTCAAAACGATATCCCTGACACTTAAGCCATGAGTCCTTGGCTCCTTTGCTGTTAGAAAATTCTGTTCCAATAAAGCTTTTATGCGCAAAATTACTATTGGCATTTGAGATTTTGAGTCCATTAGCAGAGAGGGTACAGTCAGAGAAAAGGGAATACAGGGAGTTGTTTACAAGGAACGGTGAATCAGACACAGTAGCATCAGTGTTGTCGTATCGCAGATCAGCTCCATTTGATTGCGTTACTTTGCATCGTATTTCCAAATAAATTTTTTGCAGGTCAACAAAATTATTACGGTCACCGGTGATTTCAAATTCAAGCATTGGTCCATTGGGTGAATAGACAGGTCCAATTTTTTGATCAAAAGCGTTTTCAAAAGTAATCAAAAGAGGTTGTTTTTCAAACAAATCCAGAGAGCTATGGGTAGCTTCATTGGGTAACAAATTAGCGATCATTTTGTATGTTTGAGAAAAAATCTGCTCGACTTCTCACTGGTCTGGTTTTTCTTCGAATGGTTGTTTTTCTTTTTCGAGCCCCTACTGACCTTCTTCTTCGTAATCCATTCATTGGTGTCTTTCGACGACGACGTCTACCACCACCGAGTTGTTTTCTTGCAGTTTTTGTGAAAGTGTTTTTCAATGCTTGTTTAGGAGACTTCTTTTTCATAGCGACATCAATTAGTTCTGGCGCTGCACTCATCAAAAGTTCTCTGCCCAGTTTTTTCGCAGCCGGTAGAATAACCCGTCGTGCAAACGGTATAGCAACACGACCAATACCAGCAGCCAAAGCGCCAAATCCACTGCCGCGTTGTCGGTAGTGTCCAGAGAAATGAGGAAGTGAAGCTTGCTTTGCATAATATTGTTCCATTGGTTTTCAATCAAAGCGCTTGAATTTTAGAGTCAACACAACTTTACCAGTTCCTGCAAAGGGCACTAGTCTTCCAGTTTCTGTGCGCAACTGTACCGATATTGATTGTACAGATGAAGTGAATAATTTTTTGTAGTCTAAATTAGTGAAGTTTTTTCGATGATTAGGTTCAATGCTGCAGGCACTACCGTTTTTGATGCGTCTATTTGAATCAATGACGCGTAGCAATGGGGCCTTTGCATCACCAACAGTTTGGTATTGAATAATGTCAATATAGACAAAAATTAGACTTGTCCCACTTGATAAGTCATATGGGAAATGAGATTCGTACAGTTCGTTTCCCTCATAAGATGCATCGAAGGAGGGTATCATTTTGTAACCAATGTGATATTCACCGTTCTCATCAAGCTTTGCATTGTAGCCTAACAGACTGGGTATTTGGGGACTTGGGAATGAGATTCCTTCATTTGCGTTCATCCAAATACTCATGCTATTCGTGATTTCTTGAGGACTCGCATCAAAATGAATTTTGTCTTTGAGTTTTGTTTTTATCTCATTAATCAATTGTTCTATAAAAGTGTACTCTCCTGATTTGATATAAACTTTTTCGCCATAGTAGGGTCTGGAAATTGTATTCCGATTGCCAGCGTTGGATTTACTGGCTACTACTTCGGATGCTCTGAAGTACGTAAATTCCTCATCAGTAACATTGTTTAATTTTGTGGGGAAAATTATTTCTGAGAGAGCAACTCTCCAATCTCCGTCTAAAGCTATTTCTTCTTTACAAAAATTTCTAAAACTGGCCAAAGTGTTGTCTGGGAAATAATCCATTGAAGCTGTTGAAATCAAATGTACAGTAAACTCATCACTGCCCATTTTCGTTATAATCAGCTTTGTTTCCAATTAAACTAAGTTCTTTTTCATAAAATTTTCCGCTGATTTCTTCCTTTTCCGCATCAATGAGACTGTATGTTGGAGGGTTTACAGTAGGAATGGCAACTCTTTCAAAAACTTCGTCTGTAAAAATCTGCTTGTAACCTTTTCTAAAAGGCAAGTCAGTCTTCGCTATTCGAACATAGTCACCAACATAAAATTTTGGTTTCTGTACCAACTTCGATGAACTGTTTGCAATTAATGAAACTAAAGCAGGTACATGTTTTCTTGTGACCTTGTTTGGAGCCAATTTTGTTACTCTATTAACGCGTGAGTTAATCGTTTGAACAAAACTTTGTAATTTTTCAATATAACTGTAAGTCCATTCAAACTCCAAGTATTTGTACATAATACTTTTCAGCGATCGAATGTTTCTTTCGGCAAACGCTGATTTTTTTTCACTGTGAGTATTGTATTTGATGATTTCTCGTTTAGTACATAACTTTTCGAACTCTCCTTTAAACTCGGTGCCTTTGTCAACCCAAACTTTTTTTGGTTGTTTTGTTTTGATCATTTTTTTGAAAGCTTCGGTTGTTTCCTTAGCATATTTGGTCTTCAGGGGTTCCACTCGTAAGTAGCGAGAGAGGCAATCGACAGCAACTAACAAATATCGTACCCCTCGGTTATATTTAGCCAATTTATCAACATAAGCCAAGTCAAGAGACCAAATTTCGTTGATATCGTTAACAATCACTTTTAGCCGAGGATATGTTTGTATGTGATGATTGAGATCTCAGAAATTTTTCAACTTTTTTTGGTGAGAGTT